TGTATATGCATATATATATATGTTTTTAAATATATATATGTTTTTAAATATATATATGTTTTTAAATAAATATATGTGTGTGTGTGTATATATAGATATATACACACACAGGGAGCTCTGGTAGCATAGTGCCTAAGGCACTTGACTGCTAACCAAAAGGCTGGTGGTTCAAACCCACCAGCTACTTCTCGGAAGGAAGATTGGGCAATCTACTTCCATAGTGATATTGCCTCGGAAACCCAAGAAGGGGTCGCTATGAGTCAGGTTCGACTGAACGGCACATAACAACAACAACATACACACGCACATACATATATCTATCTGTCTGTCTGTCTCTCTGTCTATCTGTCTGTTATAGGGGCTGTCGAGTGGGTTCTGACTCATAGTAACCCCACGTATAACAGAACGCAACACTGCCTGGTCCTACCCCATCCTCACAATCATTGCTATGTTAACCCCATGGTTGCAGCCCCCGTGTCGATCCATTTCGTTGGGGGGCTTCCCCTTTCTCGCAGACCATGCACGCATGACCACGCTTAACAAGCATGCTGTGCTTCTCCAGGGACTAGTCCCTCAGGTTCAGGAGACGAAATCTCAACATCCTCCCTTCTAAGAAGCATTCTGGCTGCACTTCTTCCAAGACAGATTTGTTCATTCTTCTGGCAATTCATGGTATAGTCAATATTCTTTGCTAGCACCATCACTGAAAGGCCATATGTACGCACACACATACAAACACCACATGTGTATTGCAGAAAAAAATATCATGAGCTATCCAAATAATATTATCAAAGTCCAGAATTCAGGATGTGTTCCATAGCCATGATTAATGGAAGCAGCTAAAATACATGTACATACATTTTGCATTTCTTTATTGGAATGTTTTCTGTGCCAATCAAGTACAGCATTGGGGGACTTGGGAAGCTTAAAACAATAGTACATAATTTAAAGACAGAATTGCTTACAGTGAGTCATTGCTGGCGGCCAACAACCTCCTGTCCTGTCCTTTGTCCACTCCAGGTATCCGGGGCCCGCACACCTGCCAAGATGCCCACGCGGACGCGCTGGGGGGCGCTCTCCGTGGTGCTGATCCTGCTGTGGGGTCACGCGTGGTCCGCCCAGGCCTGTCCGCATCCCTGCGCCTGCTATGTTCCCAGTGAGGTCCACTGTACGTTCCGCTCGCTGGCTTCCGTGCCCGCAGGAATTTCTCAACATGTGGAAAGAATCAATCTGGGGTGCGTATGCTACGTTCTTATCGCCCAGCTTCCGCGTGCTTGCACGCACATTGATTTGGTTTTCCATCTGCATGTGTGCATCCATGGAGGTTCATATGTGTACTCTGCTATCTGTCGATGTCTGTATGTGCCTTAGAGACAA